GCATTACTTAGTTAAACGCGTCTAAGCCACAATCTCCATCCACCTCACTCTAATTTTGCTCAAAACACATGGGGTGTGGCGTCATTGCGTACGCACACATACACATGCAGCCCACCTAAGTGATAACATGAACAACCAGATACAAACATCGGAAAAACAAAAAAAAAACATGACAAATTCACAAAAAACTAGAACAACAATTAAAAATAATATATAACTGAGACGATATAGGTATATATTGTATACCCTACAATAATAATAATAACGCTGATTCTAGGCTCCAAAGACGCTATCCCAATCAATGGAATTGTCCTTTTTATTCCTTCTCCATTCAGCTTCATACGAGATTTGCGAAGACTCCTTTTTACCCCTGCTGTCTAGTCCACTCGTTGAAAGCCGTGCAGAATACGATGATCCATGCTTTAACGGCGACAAGGAGTGTAGCGAAGCCTCAATCGTTCGATATGGACCACTAAATTCACCGTCATCTGCACTTGACAACATGGAAAATGCGGAAGGATTCCTTGCTGGTTGTTGGCCCACTTCTTTGAGATTCATCCATTCCTGCTGCCGGAGCCACTTTTTTTGTACCTGACAAAAAATTAAACTTTCCTTGGAGGTGCTGGGTGATAGGCAATCGGGTGCAAGACCAGCGTTTTGACACTCTTGCCTTTCAGAGTCTGAACGAACCCGGGAAAGCGCATACTCGGCAAGTGTCTTTTGCATGCGTGCGTCAGAGGCCGCACTTCGCTCACCCCTGGTTTGTATTCCCTTGAGCCGTGGACAAAAGGTACCTGTGCCCTTTACTTGTAACTTCTCCACCCGTCGGCGTCGCTCAGCCTCAGACTTCATGTAATAGGCAGTAAGATACTGATGGTGCGAAAATAAAGCAAAACGCGCATCACTTTCGTGAAGCTCGATCTTTAGCCGCATTTCATCCTCCTTGCGCACTAATTCTCGAATCCTAATCCGAGTTTTCTGTGACGTCTTCTCCAACAACCTTTGTTCGTCCTCTTGTTTCTGACGCCGAAGGGAATCTACGGTGTTAAGCCACTGCAGCCATGACTTTTCATCGGTAATACGCTGGGTGTCAAGAGCCTGCATTTCCGCTCGTTCTGCCATACACGCCAGCTCACGCTCAGATTCCAAAGCGGCGCGTCTCTCCTCCAAAAGCTTTCGATACCATTGAATGCGCACAAGACATCCTCGAACGTGGCGCTGAATACAAATAGCGGCTCTGTGACGCACCTCTCTCAAGCGTCTCGCCTCTTCCTCCACACCACGTTCCCGTTCTGCAGCTTCAATCGTCTCTTGGTAAAGTCGTCTTTCGTATTCCAACTTTTTTAGTGTGCTCCAAGCTTGGTCTTCCTCAAGCTCGCATAAATGTCGACTATGTACCTCTTTCCCATGCAGGTCTGCCACAGTTCCCCCCAACGTTTGCCAAAAGAGTTCAGCGTTGTTAAGCACGGCGAAGAGAGTATAAGCTTTAGTCCGAGTGAGATATCCGCGAGCGATCCGTTGAACGATCAGTGCTGCACGAAACAGGTGCTGGTTCCTCAACTTTTCCAGTAAGTTAAAACCCTCTGTTTTAAGAAATATTTTGCTTTTGCCGATTTGGGCCTGAGCAGGCATGTACACGCGTGCCAGCTGAAGTACGCTTTGTATGAATGCCTTTTCGTCTGTCGCACCTACAGAAGTGCACATTCGATACTCTCGACAGAACAAATCCCGCGGAATACGTACTGGGTATCCGTTTTTTCGCATCTTCACGGTGCCAAGTACACCACTTGACTCTAGCTGTTTCATGACTTCTCTGCCGCAAAACATGCTGGGTTTTCTATCAGGATGAGGCTTAATACAGCGAATCCAATGAGGATTGGTGCTACCAATCAAATCCATAAGAGCCATCAACTGATTACGAAAGAATCCACTCACGGTAAATTCTTTTCCTCCTCTTCGCTCCGACGGAGGAACAGGCGCTGGAAGACAGCGAGCAATTACACTATCCCCACTACCTCGGACAAGTGACTTGATAGAGTCTTTAAGGTTGTCTCGATTTTTATCAATCCATCCAATGACATTATATGTGACCTGCGCTGCATAATGACGCACACAAAACGTTTCACCAGAAGCGAGTTTTCTATTGAAAAAAATGTTTGATTTATGCGTATGCATCACTTTTTCCAAAAATCCAAGGTCTGTTCCCCTTCCACGCCAACAACATTCATCTAGAAGAGGAAAAATACCACCCTGGGCGGTAAGCATTTTTAAACACCCAATGTTGTCAGCAAACTTGACCTTCGTCACATCCACCCCTTCCATTCTACATTCATCCATATCCCGCTGAAACATAAGCAAGTTGTAGTGATACTGAAGGTGTTCATTCATCAAATTGATGCAAAGTTGTTCAAAGGAGTTGATTTTTAAGTTCTCAAATCCAAAAATATCCAGCAACCCAATCCAATTGCCATCATTCTCTATATCACATAAGTCATTGCACCGATCCACAATCCAACCAAATACACCATCGTACAAATGCTTACACATCGCATCGCGAATATCGACGGCAGCCGCAACATCGTTTGCCTTTGAAGTCCATACATTGCCAGGACAAACACGAGTACTCGTGAGAAACTCATGCACCAAACCATCTTCATTTATATCAAGCAATTGAATAGCCTTTCTAAGGTATTTCATGGTTTTTAAATCAATAGAGCAGCCATGTTCTTCTGGAAGAAATCGAATATTAATCAATGACGTGACAGCTGCCGTAACACGCCAGACAGAGGCAATTTCACCGTCTGTCATTCCAACCAAACGCATAGCTTTAGAGACGTGGTCAAAATCATTTTCGGTGTCATATTTGGTGTTGTTCATTATGCCCCCTGAATAAAGTGAAGCATATTCCTTCTCATATTCAAGACCAAGAACACGTGCCGTACTCGCTTTCGCGCGTGCTAAGAGGTAAAATGAGTGGTATACACGCTCTCCTTGAGCAGCAGATATTATTCGACTTTTTTCAAGAAGGTACTTAGTTGTTTCAGCGCCAACGAGACGATGTTTGGCGCTAAACTTCACTTTCATAAATTTACCAAACCGAGAGCTATTGTCGTTTATCACAGTTTTTGCGTTCCCAAAGCACTCCAAAATAGGTGAACAAGCAATTAACTTTTTTCCTACGTGTAAAGCAGCTTCTTGTTCCTCTTTTGTTTCACTCAGTGATGACACAATACCCAAATACTTTAACACTAATTTTATTGCTTCTGTCTTCCCGGCTCCAGATTCACCAGAAACAATAATGCATTGATTTTCATTACTATCCACCATTTCATAGTACGCAACGTGAGCTTGAGCCCACGAGTGCGGCATCAAGTTTGAGGGGATACTCGCTCCGCTCAAATTACGTCCCGCATCTAAATAATTCCGAATTTGAGTATCCTTATACCATGGGACAGCAAACGTAAACGGATTTAACGCCACCACTATACCACCGATATTAGTATAGATCACATCGTTCATGTAACGCAGGTAAAAGCACCTAAGTAAAGATGATTCATGGAGAATGGTAAGGTCAAGTAGGTCGTCTGGTGCGTCAAGAAGATATTCTTCATGAAGCGGCACTACCTCCTCCGGCGTTTTTACTGTAATCAATTCGCCTTGAATGACTTCTTTTCTCAATGGATCTTTTGTGACACAAACTATTCCACCTTTTGTGATAGCTTTGATAACACCACATAGCCAGGAGTGCTCTGGATGTTGAAAAAAAACATTGTCTCCAGCCTTGAATGTGTTCATAACTTCACAAAAAAGGTCCAAATGAGGGAAACAAGATGAAAAGGAATAATAGCAACAATAACAATAATAATAAAGGGGAAGCAAAAAAAAATTCACCACCCACCAAACGATAAAAAATATATGAAAGAAGAGCAGGGGTCGTACACTAAAACAGTAGAAAATGCATTAGCCACCCAAACGAAACTATATAAGTCAAAATCCACCCCTTAAAAATAAATAAATAAAAACAACGCCAACCAAATTGACTTGTACCAAATAAACTCTGTTCTATGGTCAAACAATAAATAAATAAATCCGTTCCTTCTATATCTGTGCTCACGACAGTCTCCACTTACTCTTCAATCTCCCTTTCCCTTTTCCTTTCTTCAAGGGCTGCCTGTTTCAGTAATTTTACTCCGTCTTCTAATGAAATGACCTGGATTCGACTTATCTTGTTATGAAAGAATACACCGAGAACGCGATCCGCAGCTTCAAGCATCTCAGTCTTGAAGGTTGCAGTGATGAATTGACACTTTTCAGAGTCTTTCAAGATAAGTTTTGCAACGGAAGCACGATATTCTGCATCAAGAGCAGCATCAATTTCATCAAATAGGTAAAATGGTGCCGGATCACAGCGTTGAATGGCAAAGATTAATGCAAGCGCCACAAGTGATTTTTGCCCACCACTTAGCTGACCAAGATCTGTCACGGCAGTACCAAGTCCAAAGGAAACACGAATTCGAGCGGCAATATATTGATCTTCTCCTGCATTTTTCTTGGCTGATGATCGGACAAGTTGCAACTCCCCATGACAATCCTCAGTAGAAACAATTTCCTTAAAAACCTCCTCAAAGTTATACTGCATTTGTTTAAATGTTCTCTCCACTGCCTCATCCTTTTTCTTGTCAAGATGATCCATCAACTCATGAATACTTTTTAGTTCTTTTTGAAGGTTTTCTTTTTGTCCAACCAATTCATTCTTGGTGTCCGTAAGAGATGAGTACTGATCCGCCGCTTTTCGGTTCACATGCGAATACTTCTTCATCTTCTCATTGTTTTCTTTTAGACGATGCATCAACATGCCAAGAGATTGCCCAAAATACTTACTGACATCTTTAGGAACAATACCCAACTTCCGTATCTTGTCCATAGCGTCATCGCGGCGTTGTATGAGAAGTGTTCTTTGAATCTGAATTTTTTCATCATTGTCTCTTCGCTCCTGAATAGACCTAGCTGATGCCAATCGTTTGCTTTTCAAAGCTTCCAGCTTCTCTTCACTCACAATCTTCTCGTTTGTCGCTTCAGCAATTAGGTGTCGAACAGCCCCCAGACGCTTAGTAACGAAAGAAAGTTCCCCATCTACACTTCCTTGATCCCGCGTCAAACTCTGATTGTTCGTATTCACCCATCCAAGTTCACGAACACGATCACTCACTATATTCACTCTACGACTTACATTTTGAAGTGTATCCTCCAATAATTGTACGTCTGTGGCTAATCGAACACCTTGTAGCTGAAGTGCAGAAAGGTCTTCCCGAGATTTATCAACTTTCGCAATGAAAGACTCAAGATGACTCTCTTCTTTCTGTCCCCAATTTGACACAAAATCTTCTTTTTTCTCCTGTTGCAAAATTTCCAGAGAACTTGTTGCATCTGACATCCCTTTTTCCAATGATTTTCGTGTTTCCAATAATTGTTCAATATTTTTTTCCAATCGTGCCTTTCGTTCGTCATGAAGACGAGCATCTCGAAGATCCGCATCTGCTTCATTCTCAGTCCTAGCAACATCTCCCCTTAAAGATTCGATCTCATTTATAGCATCCGTTATCTTCTGTTCAACGACGGCCACGTCTTGACAAAGTCCTTCAAGTACAGCCTTCTCACTTGTCAGCCGTACAGCCATCTCTTTCTCTTTGTTGAAAGATAGCAATCGCGAATTGCGAGATTCCAAGTACCCACCTGTAATTCCACCCTTGCGACTGATTTGATCCCCTTCCATTGTCACAGCATCACAATTATATTGCTTCACAAATTTAGCACCATCTTCAATAGAAGATACAATAGCCGTTTTTCCAAATAATTCAGCCACAACACCATTAAATTTTGAATTACAAGAAATATGTTCCATCAGTAAGCTACACCCTTCTTTTCCATTATATCGGATGGGTTCGCTTTTGCATGTATCCAGAGGAAGGAATGAAATACGTCCAGGTTTTTTTTTTAATTGATTTGGTCGAGAATTATCGCGCTTATTTCAAAGGAATCAATAACAACATTGAAAAGTGCATTACCTGCAGTCACCTCAACAGCTGTTTCATATCCTTTCCCGACATTAATGAGTTCAATCAATTGACCATGAACTGCCCTGGTAAGTCTTTCATCGGCAAGCTCTTGTAACACCTCTTTTAAAGATTGTAACCCTTGACGAATATCATGACGAACAGCACGCTCAAGTTGATGTCTTGAACGGCCCCACTCATCGTGTAACCTTTGAACAATAATTTCTTGTTCATTGACTTTTTGCCATAAATTTCTTCGCTCCATATTCAGAGTATTCCGTGTTTCTATGAGCCTTTCCCTTCGAACTTCATGATTAGCCAATTTCGAGTCCACCTTCTTTGTCACGATCTCTTTTTCCTTTCTTTGTTTATCTTCTTCGTCAATGCGATCCTTTATATCTTTCATGCTCTTGCTTATGCGGTCAATCTCCTTTCTATGAGTATCTATAGTTTTTCTGTTCCGTTCTATTTCTCCAGAAAGCCACAGATCACGTTCTTCTTTGGTCTTGAAAAGTTTCCTTCGACCTCTCTTAGCAAGAAGTGTTTCCAGTTTTGCTTCCAAACGGGTCAATGCACTGCTTTTAAGATCTGTCGTCGTCTGATGCTGATGCAGTTGATTCCGTTTTCCTTCCAGGTCTCTTTTAATCGTTTCTGCATTCCTTTCCAAATTTTCTGCTTCCTTTTGAAGAGCCATGCGTTCCTTTTCATTACGACTTATAGCGTTCTTTGCATCAGCTGCATCCAATTGGGCAATGGCTTTCTTACTATTCAGATTGGCTGCCTCTTTCTCCAGTGTCTGCAGTTCACCCTCCAGATAAGCAATGCGTTTGGAACAATTGCGAACATCTGTTTCCGCCACTTCAATAGAGGTCTTCGTAGTGTTTTCAGCACTTCTTTCTTCACTTAATGAGGAAACATATTCACCTCTTTTTTCATCCAACCCCTGCAGGCATTCTTTGGCATTTGTCAATTCTAAGGAAAAGATAGAGTATTCAATAGACTTTCTTTCCTTCTCAGCTTCTTGTAAAAACTTCAATTCAGCAGTCTCAGCCTCAAGTTCTGTCAATCTTTTTTGTAGCTCTTCAATAGACTCTTCTACCTTGTTGTACTTAACTGAAGTTTCTTGCAAAATCTCTTCACTTTCCTTTCGTCTCGATTCATAAACTCTTGTACCAGCCACATCTTTGATAAGCTGGCATCTCTCTTCATCGCTCATATTGGCCATGTTGACAATCTTACCCTGCTCCACAATATAATAAGGATTACTTGAAGAAAATCCTGCACTTTCTAACAATTGTCTTACCTCTGTTGCTGTAAAACGACGATCGTTTACTCGAAATTCGTCTTGTTTAAGTCCCAAAGTACGCCTTATCCGTACTTCTTTCTCTTCAGCTCGTCCAGGAATAACAAGACGGCCATCAGAGTTATCAAAGATAATTTCAACAAAAATGGACAAGGCCGGCCTTCCAGAACCAACATGAAATAGTTCCTTTCGTTCAGCTATCGTTAATGCACTATACTTTTCACTCAACACAAACTGAACAGCTGCAAAGAAATTTGATTTACCTGAACCATTTTTTCCTACAATAACGTTATTCTTATGTGACAAGTCAACTTGAAAAGATTGATCCCTGTAGGAGCGAAATCCTGAAATCAGTATGTTTTTTATGTGCATCTTAGCAGACCTTATATATACGAACAAATAAAAAAAAGCAGCATAGATTTGAAAGAAAATGCAATTTATATACACTCGCACAAATTGCAATCTCTGAAGCCGTTCAGTAATGTAAAAATACTCAAGAAAATCATGATTTGAAAGTTATATCTTTTTTTTTTTTAGGTAGCCTAATCATAACGGCATACCGCAGTGTAAGTCATCCGTAAGAGCTCGATGCAAAGGGATTTTCACTCGCTCAAAAACATAATTTCAACACACTTGAAAAGGAAAAGTGCGTACGACAAAACGCACAACACCATCGTAAACTCACCTGTAAAAAATAAAACAAAATAACGTAAAAAACACGAACAATAATACTCATACGCAACCGCCTCACATGGAAAACTAAACGAATCCACACCAAGAACACACCCACAGGTGTGCCCACAAACCGCGCAGCGTCACCGCAACACAACTGCGACAAC